CACAAGAAATAGACGATTGGCAAAATGAAGAAGATTTAAAGATAATAAATGGATTAAAATTACTATTTTCTGGGTTTTGATTCATGGAAAAATAGAGATTTTTATTTAATAGATTTTTCCATAAAAAATAAAAAATAATAAAAAAAGAGCTCCTAATTAAGAAAAGATTAGTAAAAAAAATTACGATTAGCAAAATAAAGAAGATTAAAATGTAATAAAAGGACTAAATTAACTAACATTGACTTTGTTTCTCATGGAAATGAAAATATGAACTAATAAAAACTTCCTGAGCCTCAAACTAGAGGAGAACCAGCTTTTCTGGGCTCGTTAACCCCCCCCAAATGTTACATGATATCCTGATGATGGATATTCTACTGGATGACTAACAGACTTGTTTATTTTGTTTGTAGCTTAGCATTATTAGCCTGTGTGGTAGCTAGCGTTAGCTAACAACTGGACACACAACGAACAAACGAATGTTACATGACTAACAGACTTGTTTTTGTGTTTGTAGCTTAGCATTGCTAACCCATGTGGTAGCTAACCTTAACTAACAACTGGATAAAAAACAAATGTTACATGATGTCTTGATGATGGTTTTTCTACTGGATGACTAACAGACTTGTTTTTTTGTTTGTAGCTTAGCATTGCTAGCCTATGTGGTAGCTAGCGTTAGCTAACAACTGGACACACAACGAACAAACAAATGTTACATGATGTCTTGATGATGGATATTCTACTGGATGACTAACAGACTTGTTTTTCTGTTTGAAGCTTAGCATTGCTAGCCTATTTTGTAGCTAGCGTTAGCTAACAACTGGATAACAAACGAACAAATGAATGTTACATGACTAACATTTTTTTTTTGTGTTTGTAGCTTAGCATTGCTAACCCATGTGGTAGCTAACGTTAACTAACAACTGGATAACAAACGAATGTTACATGATGTCTTGATGATGGTTTTTCTACTGGATGACTAACAGACTGGTTTTTCTGTTTGTAGCTTAGCATTGCTAGCCTATGTTGTAGCTAGCTAGCTAGCTACCCCCCCCCCGGTCCTCACCAGGTCGGCCAGGTTGGGTTTCTCTCCCCCCATGAACTTGCGGCTCTTCCCGATGGCCGCCACCCACTCGTTGACGGCCTTGTAGAGGTCCTGCCGCACGTCCTCCTGCAGGTTGTGTCTGCGGGTCACAAACGGTCAGAAACAGGCAGAGAAAAGACGCCTAAGGTGGTTAAAAAAGGGCCGGTTTAAGGGCTAACGGGATGCTAACAGGCTGCTAGCATGTGCTTTTGGTCTGTGTGCTTTAGTTTTTTTGTGCCTGTCCTCTGAAAGAACTGAAAGCTGTGGATGAATAATTTAGCTGTTAGCTAACGCTAGCTACGACATAGGCTAGCAATGCTAAGCTACAAACAGAAAAACAAGCTAACGTGGCAACGGATTCAGAGGAGAGTTCATCATTTTCTGAGTTTGTGAAGGTAATTTGGTAGATAATTAATTAAAAAAAAAGAGGTTAAAGTGGAGACTTTTATCCTAAAATTCAGCAAAATTGGTCAAAAAACAGGTAGAAATTAGACTGACTAAGATCAGGGGGATTGTTACAAGCTTTCTGGGCGCCAAAGGGTAAAGAAATAGGTAGAAATGAGACATTTCCTGCCAAAGGGGGCGGGGAGAGTTCATCATTTTCTGAGTTTGTGAAGGTTATTTGGTAGATAATTAATTTTAAAAAGAGGTCAGTGAGTAAGTGGAGACTTTTATCCTAAAATTCAGCAAAATTGCTCAAAAAACAGGTAGAAATTAGACTGACTAAGATCAGGTGGATTGTTACAAGCTTTCTGGGCACTAAAGAAGGGAAGTTTTCACAGATAAAAGTTATACGAACGTATTTTAGTAACCCCAAAGCGGGCGGGGTGGGGTAATGGTCATTTTAATAACATTTAGAAGGGAAGTTTTCATAGATAAATGTTAAACAAACGTATTTTAGTAACATATTTTTTTCTGCCTAAGATCAGGGGGATTGTTACAAGCTTTCTGGGCGCTAAAGAAGGGAAGTTTTCACAGATAAAAGCTAAACAAAGTTCATAATTTTCTGAGTTTGTGAAGGTTATTTGGTAGATAATTTAAAAAAGAGGTCAGAGGAGAGATTTTTATCCTAAAACTTAGCAAAATTGCTCAAAAAACAGGTAGAAATGAGACTGACTAAGATCAGGTGGATTGTTACAAGCTTTCTGGGCGCCAAAGAAGGGAAGTTTTCACAGATAAAAGCTAAACAAACGTATTTTAGTTCATCATTTTCTGAGTTTGTGAAGGTTATTTGGTAGATAATTAATTTTAAAAAGAGGTCAAAGTGGAGGCTTTCATCCTAAAACTCAGCTAAATTGCTAAAAAAACAGGTAGAAATGAGACATTTCCTGCCAAAGGGGGCGGGGCTTACCGGCTCTTCAGCCTCTTGGCGATTATGAACATGGCCGCCGCGCCCACGTACTTGGCGAAGAACCCCTCCACCGGGCCGAACTTCCCCTCCCTCACGATGTAGTCGAAGGAGGCCAGGGCCTCGGCGGAGGTGCGGTAAACGTTGGGCGAGATGAGGTGCACCAGCCAGTCGTCCGCCCACTGCCGCCATTTCATCTCCTCCCTAAGAAAAAACACCAGGAGGACGTTCTGGTAAAGGAGGAGGGGGGGTTCACCTGATTTAAGACCGTTTAAAACATCAAAAACTCTGATTTTATGTGTTAAAAATTAATTGATTAATTAAATTAATTTTTTTAATGTAAACATTTTTTTTGTGTAAAAATAATTTAGTGTAAAAATATTTTTTGTGTAAAAATAATTTAGTGTAAAATTATTATTTTTTATGTAAATTTTTGTTTTCAAT